TACACCATGACCTTAATATCCCATTTGTCCTAGACCTTATTCCAGAAAAATTCTCCAAATTTCACCAGAACCTTACCTATCATCCAAATCCCCTTGCACAATCTCTATCCAGCACCACCCATCCTTACAATCCTCCTCGAAGCTTGAAGCGGCAGTGGCCCAGAGACCTTTTGTAAATAAGCATCTATTGGAGTTTTGGCAATGGCCAGATCCTCCACTCAAGCCCGAGTGTGTATGATTAGGTTAGTTCTTTTGTTTATATACATTTATTTTATTTTATTGTATTTATTTTTATTTTATTTATTGTATTTATTATTATTAAGTTTCTGTATTATTTTTTTTTTTTTTTTATTGTAAATAGAGTGTGAGTGTGCTTTCTCTGAACACTATTATCAATGTCCTTGATGTGACAGAATGTAATATTTCTAAATAAAAAAAAAAAAAAAAAAATATTAACTAGCAGAATCACGGAATACACCGAGGAAATTATCGGAGACTACCAATGCGGATTTCGACGGAATCGTTCGACTATTGATCAAATATTGTCTTTAAGGCAAATATTAAAGAAAAAATTAGAGTGCAACGGTATTGTTCACCAGCTGTATATCGATTTCAAAAAGGATTACGATTCTAGTGACCCTCCAGAAACTGTATAATATTCTAATCGAGCAGGGGATTCCCAAAAAACTAGTAAATCTAGTCAGGATGTGCTTGACGGAAACAGTTAAAGAATTTTTATCTTGAGTATTAATTGTATTTTATATCAAAGAAATAATAATACAAAGATTTGGTTAAAAAACGGTCATTTTTTTTTTATAACCCTATTATTTGTTTTAAAAAGAAATGCTCGCGAGATCTAGAAACAAAGTTAAATGAAAACTGTGCTACAATGCTGTTTTGTTTTTCTAAATAAATATAAATCTTCGTTTTCCTATCTATGTAATATATTTGAATATTATTTACAGTAAGTGATTTTGAAAAAAAGAATTTAAAATTATCTTAATATCAATTTCATTCTTTTTGTTTCAAGTCTAGTCTGTAATTTTGATAAAACTTTAATCTAAGTTGCTAATCTTATTTATTTATTTACCTACTGAAATTGTCTTCGATCAAACGTTAAAAACTCAGAAATGTATTCTCTTCAATAAATTAAACAAGAAAACAAAAACAAAGCACAATAATATTGAAATAAACCTTGAGTGATAAGCTCGAAAGAGCAATAGGTAGCTTTGGTGGTCTATTCCTCCACCACGCATTTCTGAGTGAGCGAACCTGGTAGTTTTATATTTGAGTTGTACCTCTAGAACAAGACCCCTCCCCCCACCTCCTCGTATGCAAAAAATGGTGGGTAGAAGGTAATCAAATAAATAAGAAGTATTATCATAAAAAGTTCCAAACAACTTAATAGTTCACCCTTGTATCGATTAAATCCAAAAAAGTTATAAAAACATTATGCACAATTGCGTAATCATAAATTAAAAAATCGTGATGCGCGATTGCATAATTAAATCCTATAGTATTTTTATAAGCGCCCTAATAAGTAGTAAAAGCGTCCTTGACAATATAATGCCGGCCCTTATGTCGATTAATTCCGAAAAGTTACAAAACCATGATGTATGATTGCACAATACTATACCTGGCAGCATTATAAAAGAGGTCGTGATGGCCGAGCACAGGCGGATCTACGGAGGAGAGGGGAGGGGGTTAGTTTCGGGCTGAAACCTCCCCCAAAAATGGTAAAATTTATCCATGTTTTATGGAAAAAAATATTAAATAATTAATCTCTTAAAGTATTATTGTTCGTGTAATTACATTAATTAGGACTTCAAGAATCACTTAAATACCATTTCATATAGGTAGTTAGTGTCTTTCTTTTTTTCCAAAGTAATTATCGTTACATATATGAAAAAAAAGCTTTCTGGGGCCATGCCCCCCGCCCAAAAAATTAAATCCTGGATCCACTAGTGTGATCGAGTGTTGGAGCGTTTCCCATTGTACCATTCCTGTTCCTAGTGACGCCGCACATTGGGGCGAGTAAGGGAAAACTCGCGACATTGGCTAAAATTATTATTCTTTTTTAGAGCTCAAAAAACTACATAAACTGTTTTATTAATACCTTTTGGAATTTGTGAGAATATTTTCAGTTGATAAAATATACATTTTTCAGTTTTTATTGAATGTTGTAGTTCAATTGAAAATCTAGTAATTTTGTGGAATTTAGTATTATCATAAAAAGCCTCCCGACAACTTAATTATATTTGATTACCCCCAACCCACCTTTTCTGGCATACGGGGAGTTGTTCTAGAGGTACGATCAAACCTATTCTAACCAGAGTGGGAAGGTCGAGTTCCATTCCGTGGGTCCGCTACAAAATTAAAGTCAACTCTTTCCGGGCCGGATCCACCGATGTGATGTTCAAAAGAGCGACCTCTGCAAGGCTCAGGGGTCAAATAAAAGGTGCAGAGGATACGAGAGACGTGCGCCTTGTACTTCGTAATGGGTACAATTCAAAAGCCAGGATAATCCGAAACGAAGTGTGTTCGCAAAAGCGGAAGTCATGAGACGATTTCATCATGGAAGTCGTCTGGGGTATATGGAATATATGGAAGACACTGGGATATTCCGTGCAGGATGGCATTGGGTAAGAGGACACTGCTGCAGACAATTGCAACTTTGCTGTATCATAATACGCAGGCAACCACCTTGTAAGAGACTGCTAATGTATTCATTGAATATACCCATGGTATGATTCAACCCATGTTCAACCCATGTATTGCCTTAGATAAACAGAAAACTAATCGTTCTCAAGGACTTGATGAAATAGATGTGGTGATCATGAGGAACACTATTCCGTATATTAATGATCGACTTTTGAGAGTTTTCAATGAATGTCTGAATACGGAATACTCTCCAAGAAGGTGGAAGATCGCTGATTTGAGACTCCTCTACATGGGAGGATAAGGATAAACAACCATCTAATTCATATAAACTTAAATGTCTTCTCCCTGTTATGAGCAACGTCCTGGAGAACCTCATGATGACCAGTTTATACCCTCTTTTTGAAAGGGTAAGTCATCCACGACAATGTGGTTCAATTAGAGGCAGAAGAACCGCTGATGGCTTGCTGAGAGTGCGCAAAGATGTTGAGGAGAGGGCGGAGCGGTATATCATGCTACTACTTTTCGACATATCTTCTGCCTACGACGGCGTATGGTGTCTTAGCATATTTTTTTTGGCAATTTTTATAATAATTTTTAGGCATGTACTAATATCAACTGGACATGCTATCAAATTTAGTTTTAACATATTAGAGTACAAACAATTGGTAATTTCTCAACAACAGTTTTCATGTGATTATATTCCTCTGTGCACATTTACTTGATGTATTTATATTAACTAATACAGTTGTAAATATCATAAATAAATAAAAAAGTTTTAACAATTGTATTAAACATTAAGAAAATAAGGTTCTGTAGTTATTTGTTTAGAAAAATACCTCAAACCAAAACAATAAAAAAAAAAAAAATCATTAAATATTAAATCTTCGTTTTTCTAGTTGTAAAATTTTAATTTTGTCCATCTAAATAAGGAATAAACATTTATATTATGGTTTCCTAGTGTGCTCCAGCAGCTGCAGAGACACATTGCTCTCAATAACTTTTATAGTATAGTAAGAAGTTACCTCTTGTTAGAAGTGAGAAGATTAGAGACAATTACTAAGTGGTAGAGAGAGGTTGCTCTCAAGGATTAGTCCAGGGTCCTGTTCTATGGAAACTTAGATTAGTTATTGGGAATGTTGGAGGAAGAGAAGTTTCTTGCCACTGACTATGTTGATAATCTAGCTGCTGAGATAACTTCCAACAGCAGATCTGGAGTCAAGAGAGAAGCAGAGCAATGCTCCAGCCAAATCGCGAGATGGTGTGAGGGGAAGATGAGGATGGCAGCTGTGATGCTATAGTGGCATGGGAGGGTGAAAATAAACAAATAATAAGGTTCCAGCAATATTTTAAAAAGTCATGTTCCTAATTCTATCACTAATCCTAAATTACAACCTGATAAAATTATGCTTAAAAGAATAATTTTGTCAACTATTTTTTCTGACATTCCTAGCCCGTAGGCTACTAGTCATCTTCTAAATTTTCTACTCTTTTACTATTGTTTAGATAGTTGTGGATTTAACTCAAGAAATCTTAAAAGAGAATAAAATGATTGGTCAATTACCTCAAGGATACTAGTTCTCACTGTGGAGGGCTACCTCATCTTTAGTTGTTTTGAATTAACAGAATAGTTATAGCAGTGTAACTAAGAATGATGGCACCCTAATATGTTTTTCGTGTGCATCACTCTCTGCCCTCAAGAGTAGTAGTCCTGCTTGTCTTGGATCCAGAACTAAAATAAAACCGATGCAATATTTTTTATTATAATAAAAATTACAAACGGGCTAGGGATTCGAATTTTTTTCACTATTTGTAGAAATGTAAGGATCTAAAACTCCCAAAATGAGAAATCAGGCTAATGGTCAAACAACAGACACAGAATGTTATTTGCACCTTTGGTAATGATTTTAAACAGGTCTCAAGTTTAAAGAAACTGATAGGCCAGTTAGTCGTCATAGCAAAGCCTGCTGCATTTGTCTTAATCTCAGTCACTACTATTTCCAATAATTGGATTTTTCATCCTAGGTTGAATATCTGAGTTACATGCATTTTTAAGGTTCTAATCTTCAGTGAATAAAGTAATCGGTCTGTTTCATCATTTTAAAATATTACATTTTGATACCGATGTTTGACGTTTTAAAAAAAAAAAAAAAAAAAAAAAAGATAAGAGGTGTAAGTAGTGATAGGGCTTCAACTGAACAAGTATTTTTTTAACTTAATCTCTCTCTCTCTCTCTCTCTCTCTCTCTCTATATATATATATATATATATATATATATATATATATATATATAATTACCCTATAAAAAGGATATTATAGGAAAGAATGATTTTAAAACTAGCTAAGAACAACATATCTTTATTTAACATTTTTTAAATATATTTTGAATTATAAAGAAAACAACAATGAAGTGTTAATTTAAGTGTATTTGCATGTGGGAAATGGATAAATATGTATTTTTGGAGACAAATTTCTTATCAGGGAATTATATATTACATGATAGTTCATAGAAGTATATTTGATAAAACAACACAGCAGGGCCACTTTGAGTATAGGTGTCTTTCTTAGTTTCTTTACTTTCATTAATAGGTTTTCAAACTAATAAATATGTCCCATCAATCTTAGAGCTTGTTAACAGTGCTAGCAGGGAAAAATCAATATTCTCTGAGTGTACACAAAATATTCTACCAATTATCTTTGGACTGATGACAAATCAATCACACAGACCAGCATAATGATTGATTGTGTTATAATTTTTTAAGGTAAATTTTGCTACAACAAATAAAAACAGGGAAATAAAGACATCAGATTGTTTCATCAATTTTTTTAAAGTCAATTTTTTAATAGCTATCATTATAAATATAATCCCTTGCTAGAGGAACAATATATAAATGAAACAGTTTGGTTCTTGTTAAATGTGAGTACAAGTATATATATTTATTTTTGTTTATATATATTTACAAAGACTATTTACAAAATTAAATTTCAAGTAACTTTTAAGTTTGAAATTGTCTGAAGATTGACATTTAAAAATCCATGTAAAAGCAATTAGCAGATAATGTGATCTATAAATGTTCAAACTTAGAAAAATATATATATTATTTTTTAGTAATATTAATTATTAAAAAATATTACAAAATATTTTAAAATTAATAGATTTCATTGGTTCCATCAATATATGATAAACTATACATTTATATGATACCTGAAATGAGTATGACACTTTGTTATTTTGTCAGATACAATAGCATTTAAAAGATAATAACAATAATTTCAATTTTTTTTACATTTCATATAAATGAAAAAGATCACAGAACACAGTCTTTTGCATATGCCGAGTGGTGTAATAAATATTAACTAGAGAGCAAAAATAATAATAACTATTTTATTATACATACAGTGCTTGTATATACATATAAAGATTATTTATAAATAAATAATAATTTTAAGTAGAAATAGGTGGTGGTTTAGATCTTCTTGATGTCTCTGGATGAAGGAACCTAAAATTAAAATAATTATATTTCATAGTTGTTGTAGCATTAACAATAACTATATGTTTGAATGTACATCATATGTTTTAATCGCAGTAGTATTCAATGTATTGATATGGTTGGGTTAAAAATAAAAGTGTGTTATATTCTAGCTTATTTCCATTTTTAAGAATAGCAATATATTCCCAGAATTTCCAATCCACTCAAGTCACAACAACATTGGTTACGAGAAACAAAAAAGGAAAAAGAAGAAGTAAATAAATAAATTTCAGTGTGATAAGGTGAGTTACAATTATATTATTTTCAATTTTATTCATTACTCACAAAGAAAAAAAATGGACCCTGAACAATTTAAAAAAATTTTAGAAGTTTTTAATGCAAATCACCAAGCATTATTACACCAGTTTCAATTAATCTAAATTCAATATTACCTTTTGATAATTTTTATGCAAAATAAGAAACTTTTAAAAATTATATAAAACATTTTGAAAATTATTTAATGATAAAAGATGTCACAAATGAGCAAAAAAAGTCACAGATACTATGCGCATTTATTGGCCCAACTCATTACAATAATTTGTCTGCATTCTTAGGCTCTGATAAACCTGTTAATACATTCAAGTATGATGCAATTGTTTAAGCATTAATAAAAATGTGAACACTGTATAAAAGCAAAATTGTTTCACAGCAATTTTTCCTCAATATAACCCAAACAGACAATCAAAATATTTCTGATTTTGTTACTGCTCTCAGATGAGGTTTACTTGACTGTGATTTTTGCATCACATGTTCTTGTAACAATAACGTTTCATTTGCCAAGTCCTAGTCATAGCTCAATTTATTCAAGGACTGAAAGAAAGCTGTGCAGTGTACAGGATGTCTGGGACCAACTGGAAAAGACCTTGGACAGCGAAGCAGAACAAATCCTTGGGATTTGAAGGTCTTGATTGGCTCTTGAGGATCGAGGTAAATGGTTCGACAAGGAGTGTAAGTTGGTCAATGATGCGAAGAATGAAGTGTACAGGAACATATTAAATAAGCACTTCACCAGGAGAGTCATGAAGGAATACAGAAATAAAAGAAGGCTGAAGAAGAAACTCCTGAGGAAAAAGAAGAGAGCATGGGAGAGAAAAGAGTTGGAGGATATGGAGGCCCATTGGAATGTAAAAGAAAGCAGGAAATTCTTCCAGAAGATCAATAGTGGAAGCGACGCTTTGAAGCTTAGGATTCAAGCATGTAAGAAAGAGGATGAGACACTGCTTACCAATAAGCCAGATACACTGGATCGATCGGTGGTCTAGACACTTCCAATTGTTATTAAACGACGAAGCAGTTACAGAGGATATAGAGGCAAGCGACATTGCTGGAGAGGATATCCCTAATAATCTTGGAGATATCGAGCTCTCGGACTTTGAGGAAGTAATGGATACAATTCTTCACATGAAAAACAGTAAGGCACCGGAACCGGATGGATAGCCAACTGAGCTATTCAAGTATGGGGTAGATGAGTTCCATAGAGCACTGTCCGATATAGTCCTGACAATTTGGGACCAGGAAAGAGTTCCAAAACAGTGAGCTAATGCTATAATATATCCTCTCCATAAGAAAAAGGACCAATTTGATTGCACAAATTACCGTGGCATAGCCCTGTGGTCTTGTGCCTACAAGATCCTCTCGAATATCCTTTTCAGCAGATTTATTCCATTTGAAGAACGGGAAATTGGGAAATATCAAGCTGGCTTTGAGAAAGACAGATCTATTGTTGATCAAGTGTTCACCCTCAGGACAATTTTGGAACAGGGTCATGAATATAAAATCCCTACACACCACCTGTTTGTCGACTTTAAAAGTGCATATGATAACATCAAATGATCTAAGCTGTATGAGGTGTTGAGAGAAATGGGCATCCCAAGCAAAGTTGACAATGGTTGATGTAAGGTGTCAGGTACAGATCCAGTCTGACTGCTCTGATGCATTTCCCTCCAACAAAGGATTAAGACAGGGGGATGGACTAGACTGTCTCCTCTTCAATCTTGCACTGGAGATAGCTGTATGGGATTCAGGAATTTAGACAGGCCACACGATATTGTGGCCAGGACCTGATCGGCATTAGTAGAAGCCTTTGGGAAACTCATGGATGCTGCTTCAGCCATGGGGTTGGTCATAAACAAGAATAAAACAAGATATATGCACACAGGGACTGGTGGGGACGATGTACTGATTGTGAGTCCTTACACATTCCAAAGGGTGAACGAGTTTACGTATTTGAGATCTGTAGTGATACCCATAAACAATGTCTCTGCTGAGATAAGGAAAAGGCTAGTGGCGGCAAATAGTGCAAACTCTCTAACTTAAAACTCTCTGCAGCAGATCCATTACCAGGGGTACTAAACTGGTTATATATAAGACTCTTATACGCCCTATTCTTACCCATGCTTCCCAAACCTGGACCATCTCAAGAAATAATAAAAATAGTCTTTTAATTTTTTTAAAGAAAAATCTTACAGCAAATTGACCCAGTGAGAGATGGAGATGGATGGAAGGTTAGGAGGAACAGAGAACTTTATGACCTTTGGATGTTGTAAAGTTTAAAAACTGGGGAGGCTCAGTTGGGCTGGCCATGTTGCAAGGATGGACGCAGAAGAAATTCCTAGAAAAGTAGTGGACATAGCAGAGCCTGCCACGGATCAGAAACTGGAGAGTAGCAGCACAAAATCATGCCGAATGGCAGCAGCTCATCGAGGAGGCCAAGAACCACCCAGGGTTGTAGCGCCACGCAAGTGAGGTAAAGTGAGCATTAAATTGCTAATTTTTTAATTTTAGGATTAAATTTTGATTTTATGAGCATTCAATTACATATTTGAACCAAATTTCCTTTATTACATCTAAATAGATATATATGTAAATATTAATTTTATTTTATAATGTGTTTATTTATTATATGTATATTTAAGAACAAGGGTATCCAACCCAAGGACCATGTGTTCGGAGTTGAGAAATTTACTGCCAGACAGTAGATTTTTAATTTTCTGTATTTAAATTATTAAAATATTTTTAAGCTCTCTTTCTGGGATGAAAGAGTATTTTAAACTCGGCATGTTTGACATTTTGTTGTATAAATAATAATATAATTGGGGATACAGATTACTGCTACCTCCTTAATAGTACAGTAAAATTAGGGATTGACCCAACCATTAAAAAAACAAAAGATCAAACTAGTCAGAAATTATTGCTCATAATAACTAGTAAAAAGTCGTAAAGTTTCCTGCGTTGGGTTTTAATGGGGAAAGAGGAAGAATGAGAGAAAACTAAAATTTTTTTTTAGAAAATCTCAAAAACTATTAGGTTTATCGCAAATATTGTTCAAAACCATATTAAAGTAATTTAAAATCTCTACAAAAATGAACCTGTATATTTTTTTTATAAATTCGATGGTTACGTAAATACTATAATTTCTTTTAAATTTTTAAGTTTCAGGATTTAAAAAAAGTTTCTGCTACTTCTAAATTGGCTGTAATATTCATAACCTATGATAACATGTAACAATAATTATAAGTTCAAAATATATGGTTTCCAGGACTAAGGACCGAGTTGACCAAATATGTAAGAGTGGGGTTTACTCGATTAAGTGCTCATGGTCTGCCGTTTATATCAAGCAGATCGGTAGTAAACTAAAAAATAGTATTAAAAAACATTCCTTTGGTCAGGCTATGCATCTCATTCCAAGAATCATTTTGAAGATTGCTCGTACCCACATAAAAATTGTACTGTAAAACTCTTATATGCTATACTTAAAGGAAAAAGAATGGATTTTCTTGATAAACTAGAGACCAAGAAAAAAAAAATATATTAATGTGTTATGCCTGAATGTTCTTAATACAAACAATAATGAAGGATTCCGCCTTCATGAAATTAGTAGTCGCTAATGAAAACAAAACGTGGAGGGCTAGGGGTAACCCATCTGGATAATAGTTTTATTTTTAATCCTCAACTGACAAGCAGGAGAGGTAGACCACCATAAATTACCTGATAATTAGTTTTTATTTAATATATTTAATCGGGTGTGTAATTGTTACATTTTATAGATTGTTTTGTAAATTTAGATTTTTATTGTTGTTCTTAATTTTTATATTTCATTTAGCCTGATTAAGGTCTGACGAAGGACCGAAACTGGTAGCAAGAAATAATAAACAATCATGTACAAGAGGACATATTTCTATTATATTTTAATTTTTTAATTATTATACTTGTTGGATATTTCAGAAAATATTCTTCCGATCATTAGAAACATATTATGTACAATTACTCCATCTTTATTTTTTTCAGATTACTGCCAACAATAATAATTGTAGAAAAGAATCAAACAACATTGTTTATATTGCCATAAAAGGAGCACAAAAACAAAAAACAAAATCAAGGAATTTTTGAAAAATTCTCATACAATACCCAGTTTTCAGGAAATTCCCAGTCATTGGACACCCTGCTGCAGAGCCCTATAGGCCGTCTTAATTCACAACTTGAAATATTTTCAGTTGTTCTGATACTAAACAAATTTAGTTCTGAGAGTACCAAATACTGATAACCAACCAATTACTGGTACTGGTATTGTTTCTCAATGTAGTTAAAAATTGAATTTAATTGTTTAGTATTTATATAATAAAAGATAAAACAAAATATATAGAAACAGCCACTTTATTCTAGGACAATGTCCCATGATAATAACAACAATGGTGTATAGACAAATAGATTATTTCTGGACATAAGACATAACCTAGATAGATTAAAAAAATACTGTAATCACAAACATTAATTTTATGTGTTAAATATTTTATAATTAAAAACAAAGAAAATGTGAATAATTGGCAATCTATAGCAAATGTGCATTCCAATAACAAAATTTATTAAAATCTCACCTATAAAAGAGGACCATAAAGCCAATCCCAATGGTAAAAGGAACAACAGAGGAACAGATGAGAGGTATGTAATACCATGAATTCTTGGTAAAGTCATCTGAACACAGGGACCATACAGTTATTGCTATAACATTCTCTATGAAGCATATGGGATAATAAACAAGATATCTGAAAACAAATAAGTTATTTGTATTTTAAAATCATTTTTGTTAAGAATTGAACAATTTTAAAGCTACAGATTTAGAAGTTTAAAAGGGTTTATAAATAATTCATTGTATTCTGATAGATAAAGCCCTCTTAGCAGTAGGAGACAAATGGTCAATCCTTGAACAGTATATCTCCTTGATACCTCGAACAGTATCGTATATCATTCTTCATACATTTAACACCTATAAGTTACAAGGAGTGGTTACGGACAAGGGATCAGTGATTTCAATGAAACTTTTTTTGGTGATACCAAGTCGAAAAATATAAGACCCATGTCTAAGGGTTCTTACCAATACACCCTAAGAACCAAGAAAATAATATTATTTTTTTTATATTACTGTTTTCTGACTTTACTCTGTATAGATTTCTAAGTTATTATACATCAACCTTTTTTTTTTTTTTTTAATAAGAAAAACATATCGCTTATTGTATTAAACTCTGATGACGAAAGCCAATAAAGAGAGCAATAATTTAAAAAAAATTGATTAAACAAATTTTAATATATAATAAATTATAAAAAGTAAAAGACACTTCCAATAAATGAGGCCCAGTAAATTTATGATTTAGATTCGTTTTTAATGTCCCATGAAACTCTAAAATATGAATTTGTTTTGAAATAAAAAATATAATTTTTTAAACCTAATTTTATGGGATTCACATACTGATATCCTTAATCCAAATCATCTTGAATGTATTGATGCAGAACTGGATATTCCACTGCAAATGACTCCTCCTAACGCCTTTTATCCTTCAGAAATATCCAATATTATTCACAGATTACTCTCCCGCAAAACCCCTGGCGATGCGATGACCTAATCACATCCCATATCCTTAAACTATTTCCTCGAAAAAGCCATTCTATTCCTTACTTACATATATAACACCGTACTCCATTCCACATATTTTCCTAACCTTGGTAAACTATCTATTGTCAAAATGATACATAAACCCAAAAAGCCACCAGAATACCTATTCTCTTACCATCCTATCTCTCTCTTTTACCCATCATGAGCAAAATCCTGGAAAACCTCTTCTTAAAACGCCTCTATTGCATCCTAGATTCTAACCACATAATTCTCATTCCACTATCCACCAATGCCATCATGTGGTAGACATTGTCTCCTCTGCATTGGAGCCCGGAATGTATTACACTGAAGTCTTTCTCGACGTTAAATAGGCGTTTTGATCGAGTCTGGCACCAGGGATTGCTTTAAAAACTCTGTTAATTCCTCCAACCTACATGCTTTCTCAGCATCAGTTTCTACCATACTGAAAGACACTTCAAAGTAAATCATAATAATGCCTATTGATCCCTCTTTTCTCAATCTGCTGGTGTTCCTCAAGGTAGTATCCTTGGTCCTACCCTTTACACAGTTTATATAGCTGATATCCCAACCCATCCTAACACTGTCATCACCACATATGCCGATGATACATGTATCCAATCAGTTAATAAAGATCCATCAATTGCATCCCAAATTCTTTAATAACACCTCATAAACGGAGAAGAATGGTGCCAAAACTGGAGGATTAAAATAAATTCCAATAAATCCCATCAAATCACCTTTACACTTCGTCATAAACTAATTATATTATAAAATAATTAGTTAAAAAAGACTCATATACATGACTATAATAAGACCTATTTGGACTAAGTTGAGCTATGGGGCTCCACTAAACCATCAAATTCCTCTCGCATTAAATCCTTATAATCCAAAATCCTTCATAAAATCCTCAATGCTCCATACTTAGTCACAAATAATATAATCCATAAAGACCTTAAGTTCCATCTGTTTCTGATTTGGCCCAATTGAGATACCTATCCTTCCATAATAAACTTCATAACCATCCGAAAATTCTTGTTTCTAACCTTGCTTTCTCTTAGATTTCTTATAACCCTCCGAGGCGTATGAAAAGAAGATGGCCTCGTGATCTCCTTATATAGACATATTATTAGAGTGCTTGCAACCAGTGGGTAGTTTCTCAAAAAGCATTTTCATGTGATTATATTTCTGTGTAAAAATTTACTTGATATATTTATATTGATACAGATGTAAATATCATAAATTAAAAAAAAATTATGGGAAATTTTTTTTATATGTTTACTAAAAGATTCATAACTCCTCGAGATATTCTCCTAAGTCAACATTGCTAAACCATTGGAAAGCTAAATTATTGGTCTTCAAAACTATATCAATAATTTTTAGATTTTATGCCTTTACAAGGAATAAATAAAGAAAAACTCCCCAAACATTTTAATTATATATCTCAAGCCTAATTTATTTACAGATGTTTGGGTTATGCTATTTTGGGTATTTTCTAGGTATCGTCTATACTACAACATAGTCTGTGCTATTTTTCTTAAATTCATACTAATGTTTGTGATAGACAACAATTTAGAGCTAAAATTTTTTATTTTTCAATCATTACGAAAATTTGTATTTAAGGGTTTTTCGATGTGCCAATACAAATCTCAACTTTTTTTATCTCCAAAAAATATATTTAATGGTATCTGGATGAGTTTATTGTGTATAATATTGTGACGAAAAATAAAACACACAAAAAAAAAAATTAGTTTGTAAAATAATTGTTAGTTTTTCTATTACCTCGAAGAGGGTTAAATATAAAATCAAGTATTTAGTACTAGTTTTAATAATAAGTATTAGTTTATAATAAGTCTTAGTTTTAAGTATTCATTTGTTCAGATTGGAATAACCAACAGATGATTGGGAGCAAAAACAAAAGAGAGTTTAGAGAGAGATGGCAGAACCTCACGAATTTTTGTGTGTGAAATACTATAATTTTACGGTGTACAGCGGATTTTCTTTTCCTATCCATAAACCTGTGATTATCAGCAACGAGTGCCGCTTGATTTTACAAGTTGGTAGTTGGTGAATGAACATTTTCACAGTTTAAAGAAGTGGACTGGGGAGACACTGACGACGCTAGCTGGAATAAGTTACCGCTTCCTCAGATAACTCAATGTGCCAATTGGACAAAGTTCGGCATTGAGATTTTATAAATATGTACATATAAGTTTTTTCCTATCTATTTTTATTTCCAAATGTTTGTAATTGGTATATTGTATAGTTGTAGGTTAATGTTTAGTTCTATAATAATTTTATATTCTTTATTTGGTAATTAAAGTTAATTGTATTTTCTTTGTTTTCTTATAAATCTAATTTCTTGTTCATAATTTTCATTTCCTTTAACAGTTATTTAAATCAATAGAAATAAGTAAATTCATCATTAGTTTAATAATAGCCAGTTTTATTTTCTTAATTTTCTTCAGTTTGTTTTCACATTTTATGTATATACTATATTGTTTTTTTTGTTTTTTTAGGTTTAATAAGGACTTGTAAAACCCTATTAGAGGGATTAGGGAAAGTCATTATTAACCAAGTAAGAAGGTTCGATAGGTTATGAGGTTAATTAACATATATTTTTAAACCAAATCTTTTTTTTTTAATTAAATTTATTTATAATTTTTTTATTTTTATGGTTTATTTCCAAATTCAACCAATTAAATAGCGTAGCGCCTGGTAGATAGTTAGTAACATTTAATTGACTCTTCATTAATTTTTTTCTTCACTGAGCATCCGGCAAGTTTGTTGCGTAAACATTTTTTCCAAATTAAAGATCGTAACAATATGTACAAGACCTGGTTTACTCTTATTTTTAGCCCGAATCTGGGCAACATACCAGAGTAAGTACATATAATCCTACTTTAAAAATATCTATTCGCTTTAGAAAAAGAATATATATACATATGTATGACATATAGCTATAGTATGGGTACAATAATGAAACAAATTGTACCAACCGAAGGAACAAAGTGGGTTTAAATATTTTTTTTCGAAAATCACAAAAAATTATTACTTCAACATGGTACCACCTATCCACAGAAAAATTAAAAAAATTTAGGATCCAGCAAAATACATGGAATGGCACAAACCAGATGCCCGTAAATAAATTAGGCATGGAGACATAAAATGAAAACATTTGACGAATTTTTCTTTATTTATTCCTTGTAAAGCCGTAAAATCTAAATTATTGATATGGTTTTGAATACCAATAATTTAGCTTTCAAATGGTAGTTTAAACATTGATTTAGGACAAAATCCTGAGGAGTTATGAATGTTTAAGTAAACGGAATGAAAAAAATCCTCCCATAAAAATAAGTCCAAAATTCATATTTTTTAATTTCAAAACAAATTTGTATACAAAAGTTTTAAAGGACATTAAAAACTAATCTGAATCTTTTTTTAATTAAAAAAAAGGGACTAATTTACTGGAAGTATCATTTAGTTTTGTAATTTATTATACATTAGAATTAGTTTAATACAATTAGCAATATTTTTTTTTAAACAAAAAACAAAACTGATTGATATATAATAACTTAGATATCCATGCAGAGCAAAGTCCAGAAAACAGAAATAATAATATTTTATTTAATATGTTTCTCTCGGCTCCTGGGACACATTGATTGCAGTGACCCTATGTCCATAACCTCCACTTGTTTGTAGTAGATCTAGTTTCCTTGCCTTCCCTTGTCAATCATAGGCAATCCTCTCACTACCAACTTCTCCAACATAGAGATTCATGATGTTTTTGATTCCATAGTGTCCTTATTTCCAAGTGACATAATCTAAATTAAAACAAATACACTGACAGGCAAAAAATTCAACCCACTTGAATTTTTTAATTGTTTTCATCTAAAAATATTTCTGCTTCGGATTGGTCTCTTGTTTTTAATGAATAAATAGGTAATCTTTTTGTTAGTTTTCAATTAGGAATGTTAAAATAGAGGACAATAACCCTTAATACAATGAAATGATTCTAGATTCCAATGTTTACTTTCTATGGAAACAAAATGTTTATTCAGTATCATTAGTTCAGTGCCGTTTCTTGCAGCACATTTCTTAGTCTCCGGCTTTTAATTTTTTCAATATTAAGTTTAAAAATGCCTCTTAGTGCTGAGGATGTTGCGCGTGGTGTGGCACTTATTGATGATGGACGTTCCATTAGATATGCAGCTAATGCCATCGGAGTTCCATATGAAACTTTACGAGACGCCGTCAGGCGTTTTCGGGAAACTGGTTCTTACAATAGAAGGCCCGGTTCTGGACGGCCTAGGGTAACAGAACCACGGGATGACCGGTTTTTGACTTTGAGAATTTTACGAAACCGGCACCTTACCGTTGTTCAAGCGATTCATCAGCTCGAAGAAGTTCGAGGTGTGCAAATTTCTGAACGTACCGCTCGGAGAAGATTAAATGAGTATGGATTAATGGCTTTTCGTCCAGTAAGAGGACCAGAGTTGACCAGAACTCACAGAGTAACACGGCTGGCTTTTGCTCGAGAACACAGCCATTGGACTATGGACGAATGGAGTGCTGTACTTTTTACAGATGAGTCAAGATTCGCTCTTCGATCTCCAGACGGGCGTGAAAGGGTGTGGAGAAGAAGAAACGAAAGATATGCAGCCTGTAATTTTTCCTAGAGCCAACCTTTCCAACGTGGTTCCTTAATGGTGTGGGCTGGGATTTCAATGGAGCGCCGCACAGAATTGGTTGTTGTTCGTGGAGGGTCTTTGACGGCCATTCGCTATGTAGATGAGATTTTGGAACCTCATGTGTTGCCTATCCTCAACGAAATCGGCGATCGTTCTATTCTAATGCACGATAATGCACGCCCACATGTCGCCCGCATAGTGCAGACGTTCCTTCAACAGAACAATATTGAGGTTTTAGCCTGGCCAGCACGTTCTCCAGATTTGAACCCCATTGAGCATTTATGGGATAACCTCGGAAGACGAATAAGAGCGCGTGCAACACTTCCTGATACACTGCAGGACCTTGAAAGGTCTCTTCGAGAGGAATGAGCTATCCTCCAGCAAAGGGACATTTCCCGACTGGTGGAAAGTATGCCGAGGCGTCTTCAAGAAGTAGTGAAGGCAAGAGGAGGAAACACGCGCTACTAAACGATGATGTAATTAATTTCTTTTAGAATAATAATGGTTCGTTTTTCAATTTTTTTTTCTCTAATCTTTCTTACCCAATCACATTTTGATTAATAAAGGTAAAAAAGATTATAAAATTCCATAAATACTAAGTATTATCTACAAATACCATGTATTATATACAAATACAAGAAATATTTTTAGATGAAAACATGGAAAAATCAAGTGGGTGAAATTTTTCGCCTGTCAGTGTATATCGATTATCTCCTCCTTATCTGTTATTCAGGTAAAATACTTGACATCCTAACTGCTTTTAATTCCTACCACAGCCTTCGTTTTAATATTGCTGCTAGTCATTTCTATTCACCAACCTCCGTATCATAAGAAACCAGAATTAATTTATACCCTCAGACTGATGTACAAAAATGAATCATTCTAGCAGGTTTTTCACTATTATTTTCAAAACCCTCACTGTAAAAAAATGAATGTGGCCAAAAATCTCATCCACTCTTTAAGTCTTTTTTTCATCCAATTTCTATTACCATGAGACTAACATAAATTGCATTAATTAATAATGATTCACTAATGTAATAGATTTCCCCTAAACACCATTGACAGACTTACAAAAATTCATCTCACCACTGTCCTTATATCCCCTTATACTCAAAAACCATCCTTCATTTACTAGATTTACTAAAATATATTCCTTCCTTGCCAATAAAATTAAAAAATCTTTAAAATGACCTACTCAGTCTAATGCCTTGGCTTTGATTCCCATAATAAACTTTCTAATGTTTACTATCAGACTTCTTCTTCATCATCCTCCAATGCCTCCCGGCATGGAGGTGCCTCAATCCATCTCTACCAAGCATCCAAATCCTGAGCCAGCACTTTTACAGAATATATATAGTCTTTAACTTCTTTTGACCAATCTTGCAGATGTGGTCTGTCCATAGAAATCTAGGTCTTCCTCGAGGATGACATCCAGTGGCTTGACTTCAAAAAACTTCTTTAGATTCTGGTCTACATCCAATGACCAAACCATCTCAGTTGTTTGTTTTCGACTGTATCCCTCAATGTAGGTATTTCTAGGTCCCCCCACATCGTCTCATTCCTAAATCTGTCTCTTCTTGTCTTGCTTGCCACTCTCTGGAGTGGTACTTCATTTCTATAGTAGTAGCTCTACTCCAGTGCCTGTTTATTGGGACCCAGCTCTCACTTCCATATAGAAGAGTAGGTTAAGTAGATGGTCTAAAGATGAGTAAGCTTACACTCTTTTCCACCTCCTTTTTCCCCTAACCACAGTGTGTATCTTCCTTTTATCATTTGCTTTATTTCAGGGGTCAGCCAAGTAGCAGTGGGATGGCGTGAGTGTCTAATATGGATTGTAGGTTTGAGGTAAGGGTGGACACCATAGGGTCAATAGAGTTGCAGGAATATATGATATCCCATTGGATGAAATCGAGGTCAGGTTGAAGGGATTCATAGGAAAGAAGGTTTAAATTGTGGTATCAATCCATTTTGGGAGTAAATGATTTCAGGGGTAGGTCATATGTAATTTGGATTAGGTCATGAGATGAAAGAAATGGAATGGGATATTGAGAAGAGGTTTGAGGCTATTAATTTAAAAACCAATGGAATAAATACCTACTTTTGAACACTGAATTGGAGAAAAAGAAAAAAGAACTCAGAGATTTTAAACATAATGTGGTTCTTAATATTAAGTAAAATTCAATTTTCTTCTCATTATTTAACTTTTATAGATAATATTTAAATACAAATAAAAAATAAAGGAATAATAAGATTTAAAAAGGATAAATATATTGAAAAAATAACAAGAGTTATACCTGTGTCTTGTGTTGCCTTCAGCAGGAGTGAGGTATGTAAAAATATAAACCAGACCAAGAATAGCACAGAAAATAACCTAAAAAATGTTTTGTGCCTTTAAAACATAGATTTGGATTTATTTAATAACATTAAAATAGAGTAATAAGCTATTATGTAATTATTTATAAAGAGGATTATGTATACATAAAAATAAAAAAAACCTGTACCACAACAACCCATGAGAGGTCTTGGGTTCAGTATTGTTTCAAGACCTACGGTAGTGTAGGAAGGGGATCGGGCCAGGATCACGGTAAACCGTGAGGTTTTACCCCTTATTCAATTATTTAATTAAGGGTACCCATTTTATAGAGGCTGGGTGTGCCCCAGGAGGGTCTCACTACCCCAGGGTCGCCCCACGGCCAATGAAACAGAATAAATAATTTTTCTGCCATGAGCCAGGATTCGAACCTGGGACCTTGAGCACCGGAAGCTTAGTGCCCTACCACTGAACTACCCCGCTCCCTGGATTATGCAAACATAAATTCACAAAACTAAGCGTATCTGGAATAAATCTGTTATGTCCTGTTGAACCATTGAAGCTTGGGTTGGTTAACTTGTTACTTCAGGTACAACGATCACTTTGGTAAATTAATGAGACAATAATTTTCAACAGAATTCTGATGAAATTATTTCAATTTTAACTAAAATCATTTAAAATAAGATTATCAAGGCAAATTACCTAGGTAAATTTAAACAAACAGATTTTTCGGAGATAAGGAATTTCAAAAATTTTATAGAAAAATAAACAGGAGCCCTACTCTAATGTCTCTGTAGGTGTTGAAGTGTTAATATTTTACATAGGCACTGGTGCCTTGTTAATTAATTTATTTTAAAAATGTTAAAATAATAAATCCTTGAGATTAAATATTGGGTGGATCGATAAGTTCGTTCGGTTTTTGTTAGTAGTACAAATTGTATTCAAATATCTCCAATTCTCGTTGCCTTATCTGACAATAATGATACGTATCAGAAAGGTCAAAGTCCGCTCTTCAAAACTGTTGTATTTGGTTTCATTGGCATTAGTTTTGTTTGTGCTACAGCTTAGTGAATATGTCAAATGATGAGGTCCGTTTTTGGTATATTTTGCATTTTTATTTCAAAAAAGGCAAGCAAGCTTCGAAGGCCAACTAAAAGATATGTAAGTTATACAGGGACGATACATTAACAGAACATAATTCTCAAAAACGGTTTGCCAAGTTTTGTTTTGGAAATATTGACTCGAAGTTGCACCACACAGCGGTTGGCCCACCCAGGTTGTTTTAAGTGATATCAAGGTTCTAATCGAACAACACCGGCTGCTACAGGTACGTGAAATTGCAGAAACACTGAAAATAGGTTCTGGAACCGTTCAAAAGAATTAAAAACAGCTTTAAAATATTTCTCTTAATACAAAATAATAATAATGAAATAAATAAAATATATTAAAACATTGAAAATAAAAAAAAGAAACTTTAGATTTAAATTTAAAATAATAGGTGTGAATTCTAATTCATTAATATAATTTATTAAAAATGAAATTAATTAAATTAACAAATCAATTTAGAATTATTATAGCAATAGTACAGAAAAAATTATATAAATGTTTATATTTAAAATTATATTTTCATACAATAAAAATAAAAAAAAAAAAAAAAAATATGGAGGAACCAGTCTTGAACTGGGAACCTTCAATATCTGAGAATAGCATGCTAGTCACAGCACTACGAGAGCACATATAGATACAAGCATGAACTAGTGTACAAGTGAAAGTTCAATCGCAATGGCAGGTGTCTAAATTAAAAAAAATAATGTTTTTGATTTCACCTGTTAAACTGAACACTCAGGGGTTCAGAAAATGTCTTTTAAAGGGGCACTTTTAAAATATTAAAAAATGAATTAAACAAAATCACCTCCAGCCGGCTGGTCATATTTGCCCTTTAACGCCGCCGTGGTCACCGTAGTGAGGAGAGCAATTCACCAAATGTGAGAATTCGCCGTCACAACAGTGAAGAAATAAAAAACTGGGGTTGTGGGAATGGTGACGAAATGAAGGACCTCATGGAGACAGTTCTATATGAAGCCCCATACTTTCTTCTTTTTGTATTGTGATATTGTGTGACATGCCCGAAAACATAGCTAGAATGCATCATTTAGTAAAAAATATTTAATGATAAAATTATACAAATTAAAAATTACCCCCCATATTATGATATAGTCACAAATAAAATAATATAAACTAAATGACCTATGTTGGCCGCAACTGCCTCTTTCATCTGCAACAACCATGAGGGGAACCTAATTTCCCATAAGCAAAAAGCCTTGTACCAATGAAGGCGTCACTTCAACGAAAACCTTTGGAACTTGGTGAGGAATTAGAGACAGAAGATGAGGACCACAGGGAGAATGAAGCAGATGAAGAGCCACCCTTTGAAGACGAGATCCTTGATGACATCAACCAATTGAAATGCAACAATGCTCCGGATATTAATGGACTCCCCACAAAACTCATCAGGTGCAGTGGGAATGAACTGGTTAAAGATATACAGGATCTCCTCATCACAGTCTGGACGGATGAAGTTCTACTAGACCCAAGGACTAAATTCCTCATCTGTCCTATATTTAAGAGGGGCGATTGACTAATAAGCTCAAACAACAGAGGGATCTCCCTCCTATCTGCCAGATACAAAGTTCTTTCAAACATCCTCTTCAAGCGTTTCCTACCCCATGCAGGGAGGGTACTCGGCCGATACCAGTGAGGATTCGGAAAAGGCAGGTCTACGACTGATCAAATATTCTGCCTCAGGACAATTCTGGATTGAAGAAGGGATTCAAGATTAGAACTCACCACCTCTTCATTGATTTTAGAGCAGCTTAAGATAGCGTGAATAGAGAAGATTTGTATGAGGCTCTTAAGCAATTTAAGATCCCTAGCAAGCTCAAAAGCCTTGTCAGTTTTACCATGAACGACATTAGCTGCATGGTTCAAATCAGTAAAGAGCGGTCGGAAGAACTTTTCTCAGAAAAAAAACTGCGCTAGGGAAACACCTTAGATTGCCTTTTCCTTGATTTTGAACTCGATAAAGCAGTGAGAGATGGTAGCATACAGACCAAAGACAACATCTTTAATAGATCTGTACAACTCCTTGCGTACGCGGATGATATAGTCATCATGGGACGCTCCTTGTAGGCTGAGTCAGATGCTTTCCTTGCTCTAGTGGGTCTTGCAAAAAGACGTGGCTTGAAAGTGATCGCTGCCAAAACAAAATATATGGTCACAGGAAAAGTGCCTAGGCCTGGAGAGAAGGTGACCTTCAGAGACTACCAATACGAGGAGACTAAATAATTTGTATATTTCAGTATATTGTTAATTTAAGACAATGCCCCTGAACAAGAGGAGTGGCACAGAATCATAGCAGCAAGGCAGTTCTGGAGTAGAGCTCTCTCCAGAAGAACAAAGCTATGTCTTTATAAGACGATAGTACGTCCAGTCTTGTATGGCTGTGAGACTTGGAATGCTTTCCGGGCTTGTGAGCAGGAGCTCCTAGTCTTTGAAAGAAGAATCCTCAGACGAATCAATGGTGGTGTTCCCATCCAAAGAGATTGGAAAAGGAGGAAAAACCAGAAGCTGTACACCATGTTTAAGGAGCCCGTTATAGTTTAAGTGACCAAGATTGCAAGACTGAGATGGGTAAGACACGTCATCAGAATGGGCAGTGAGGATCCACCAAGACAACTGCTGATAGAGCCACACCATGGTACAAGAAGAAAAGAAAGACCAAAGATACGATGGGCTGATGGTGTTGCTACTGATGCGACAAATGTGCTGAAGCTTCAGAATTGGATGGCAGCTACAAGAGACCAAGGCAATTGGTGGAAGCTGCTGGAGGAGGCCAGGATTCGACACCGGATTGTAGAGCCACGCTAGTAGTTCATTTGAGAGTTAAAATTTTGTATAGTTATTATATTAAAGCATTTAAGCTTAATCAGCATAAAGATAATGAACCAATAAAGATCTGAGATATTTGTGACTGTGAGCTAGTTTAGGATACATTTAAAAGTTAAAAATCATCTCTAAAAAATATAGTTTTGAATTGAACGAGAGACATCAAAATAAGGAAACCACCTTAAAGGATTAATACTGGAAGATTAAGCCTCAGAAAAACAATTTCTTAAATGTAAAATGGGAAGCTTGGAGTATGAATAAGGCTGAAATGGTTTTATAAAACTAATTATGACGGTAGATATTTAATTAGTGATTAAATTGAGGAAACAAGTAAAAAGGTAAAACAGTACAAATCAACTTAATAAGAAAACAACAAGAATTAGTAAATAGAATTACCAAGATTAAAGAAAAATAATAAACAGAATTCCTTAATTCTAAGTATTTTTATTGAATTATAAGAAAGAAGAGTCTAAAAAAATTGCACAAATTCAAATAATAATTGTTACTAAAATTTAAACATATTATCTGACATTTGATATGTTCTAAAAGCATAAAATAGATAGTTTTATTTTTTAAAATAAAATAAAAACTATTTAAAGGGTGAAGTGATCCCGTCCGGACAGTTAGTCCACGTGCCCCCTGGATAACCCGTAAACACGGTAAGTAAACGATCACATTTATCGCCAACTCAGTCCAATATACAAAGCAAAACATGTCCAGGCCCTATCAAAAACGGCCAAATGCTCGCAAGCTTTCTAAAGACTTAGGCAAGGCTCAACTCAAAGCTATCTTTTGGAACGCAGGCGGTTTAACCAAAGATAAATTCACCGAATTGAAACGTATAGTGACAGAAAGTGATGTAGACTTATGTGCCATCGTCGAAGCAGGAGCGGCAACTGAAAAACCTGAGATGCACCGAATTCACGGATACCAAACATATTTCCTCCCAAGAGCAAGACAAGTTGCATCTGGTATTATGCTAGCTGTTAAGGCATCCATCGTTACGGATATGAAAATTAGGAAACGGCAAGATGCAAGTGATAAATCCGAGGCTCTGGAAGCAAATTTGTGGTATGGCAAACGGCACTTCCGAATATTCGTAATGTATAACCCTC